TCAGTAACTAATTTCGCGGAGGCTCGTTTTAAGGGAACAATTTCGGTCCATTTACTAAAATGATCAACCATAACAAGGAGATAGCGACTTTTATTTAACTGACTTTTTGGGAAAGGGCCCAATAAATCGATGCCAATTATTTCATTTGGAAATTCGGATTTAATACTATTTAGAAACCCGGCCGGGCGGAAATTAATATAATTAACTGCTTAACATGTTGGGCAGGACTGGACATACGCCCTTGTTAACTTTTGCAGTTCAGGAAAGTAGACTGCCTCGCGTACGCGTTGGATAGTTTTTCGAATACCAGCATGAGAAGCTAAAGGGCCGTCATGGAGCTCCTGCAGGATATTTAATCTAGACTAGCTGGGATAACAGGTCGAAATTCGTTGTTGGAATTCGTAGTTTTTGTATAGAATAATAGACCATCTATTAGTTCGTAATGGGCCGCCCTATTTCTTATCGCCACAATATCTTGGTGGCTAAAATTTTCAGGATCCTTCAAATACTCATAAATGCTTCCAAGACTCAGGATCCTTACCCAGTTCGGTTATTACAGTTTCTCGGGAATTTATTGTACATGCTGTGAGCATTGCCACCTTTACGGTATTACCTACCTGTTCATCTATTTTAATTCTTGATAGGGCATCTGCTACGATATTTTCCTTTCCGGGGGTATGCTTGATTACCAGATATATTCTTGCAGCTTGAGTGCCCATCTTATTAACCTTGGGGATAAATTTTTCCCTGAGTACAATCTAGTTACCGCCGCATGATCAGAGTAACACTGTTATTGGCGCCTTTCCAAAATAGACTCGGAACTTTTGCACTGCTAACAGAACTGCAAGTGCCTCTCTCTCGGTCGCGGAATAGTTTCTTTGTGTTTGATTTAAAGTTCGGCTAAAAAATGCCACGGGCTGCTGATTTTGCGAAAGTACCGCTCCTACCGCATAATCCGAAGCATCCGCTGAAATTTCTAAATTCTCATCCTTTTCAGGAAATTTCAACACAGGGGCTTGCGTTAATGCTTGTTTTAATTTTTCGAAAGCACTATTGGCTTCGGCCGTCCACGAGAATCTTGCCTTTTTCCTTTTTAATTTTAACAATGGCTCCGCGATAGTTGCAAAATCTTTTATAAAGGACCTATAATATGAACAAAGTCCTAGAAAAGAAGAGAGCTTCTTTGCCGTGTTTGGAGTCGGATACTTTTGTACAGCGATTATTTTTGATTCGTCTGTCTCTATTCCTTTCTGAGATATCTTGTAACCTAAATATTTTTAATTCAGGGGGCTGCAAATTTGCACTTTTCGACATTAACTTTTAGACCGGCCTCATTTAATAAAGAAAACACCTGTCTTAAATCCTGTACATGTTGGTCGAGATTATCACTAGTACTAGTAATAATGATATCGTCTAAATAGATAAATGTGGACTTTCCAAGAACAGGTCTTAACACAATGTCCATGCATCGCTGAAATGTTGCCGGGGCCCCTGAAAGGCCAAACGGCATACGCAAAAATGCATAAGTGCCAGACTTGGTTATAAAAGCAGTCTTAGGCACGTCCTCAGGCCTAACCCCTATTTGAAAATAACCAGTCGGTAAGTCTAAAGTCGTCATAAATTTGGTTGATTTTATGTTCCTTAGAATTTCTTCAATGATCGGTAACGGATATACCGGATATTTAGTTATGGAGTTTAATTTACGGTAATCAATAGCGAATCTCCACCTTTTTGGATGCGTCAAAGGATAGTCATTATTTTTCTTACATAAAACCACGGGGCTAGCATAACTACTTGAGATGGGCGTTATGATCTTTTTTACGTAGCATATCGGTAATATGCCATTCTATAATTTTTTCCTTATTCTTATCATACCGGTATGGTTTTTGACGAACTGGCATTGAATCTCCGGTGTCAATACTATGGTTAGTAACCTGAGTAAATCCTGGAATATCACTAAATAACGAAGCAAATTCACTTACCACTTGTCGGATTCTTCCTTGCTCGTCCTTAGGTAGGTGGTCAAGATTTCCATCGGCGGTTCAGCCTTTTCTGCACGAACTGGTTTCATTGTCAGCTTAAGGGACGCTTCATTAAAATCCAGTGTTGCTTGTGCGTCTGAAAGAAAATCTATTCCTAAGATTATATGTGCTTGCAGATTCTTTACTATAAAAAACATCACCTTTACTTGTTCGTCCTTGATACGGATATACAACGGTACTTTACCTATGCACTTACATTTTTCTCCTTGCGCCGCTAACACTGTCGTATTATCCGAATTATATATGCGGTATTTGCGAAAAATACTTCCTAAAAAAAATCTTCTGCCACACAGGAACACTGCGCGCGCCTGTATCCAGGAGTGCGGTGGCTGGGATATTATTCACCAACACTTCAATCTTCGGAAGAGTCAAATTTTTCACCATTACTGTATTTAACTTGAAGGAAGAGATGTTTTCGTGGCCTTCGGATTTCGGATTTCCGCACCCTCCCGTCAGCAGAAATCCGTTTTAGTTTAAATCCTTTTTTTTCCATGCTTTCCTTCTTTTTCCACTGGCCTTGAGACTTTTTTCCTGGGTTGCTATTGAACTGTCGACGTTCGCCGGCTGTTTTTGAATGCTCGGGTTTCCTTGCCCACTGATTCGCTTTGCCTCCGTAGCCGTGTGCTTGAGTTTGCTGTAGTCTTGGCGTACCAAATTGGTTTCGCTGTTGATATTGGCGTCTTCTTTCGACGTCCGCCGTTCTTCTACTTTCAAACTGGATTGCTAGCTCAAATAACTTTTCCAGTGTAGTCGGATTTCTTAATTCAATAAAGTCTTGCAGTGTACTTGGGGCAGTAACCTCGGCAAAATCACTTGAATTATTTCAGGATCCGGACGGTTTCCATACAAGAGTTTGAAAGACGTGTGAATTTTTCTTAAAATAAAGCTTGAGAGGATTTTCGATTCTTTGTTGATATATGCTGAAAGTTCCGCGTTTCTAATTTGTCGCACGATCCCTTACAACAGGGAAGGCTCTTAGTAGGGCAGTCTTGAAATTTTCGTAAGTATAGGTGGGACTTCCTGCTTGACCCAAGAGACTTCTGCCTATACATTTGAACCAGTTAAGCGCTTGGCCCCTCAAAGCGCTGGTAGCTAAGGTAACTTTTTGAAACTCGTGCACGGGGTAGAGCATGAAGTGGTCATCCAATTTTTCCAAAAAACTGGTTACCGGTGAGTTTTCATTAAATGTTGCTTCTGGTTTCATCGAAGCGCGCATGGTCTGGACTATGTAACCAAATCCTTCCAGGGCGGCAGCTGGCATTTCTGGATTCTGAGCCGTTTCTGCAGGCAGCACAGGTTCTTCTTGAAACTCGGCCATGGTTATTCTTCTTCGTTGGGCGCCACTATCAGGATCAATGTTCCTTCTTACCTTCTTCGGGAACATGCAAGGACCTGACTCGGAACAGAGAGCTTACTAAAGCTATGTTCACTAATTGTGGGAAGTAGACAGGATACACAAGAAGGATATACAAAACCCTTTATTTTCTCTATTTACAATAACTTCCGTACTTCGGAATACACAGACCCCTACTTGGGGTCAAAACGTAAAAGTATAAAAAACTAAACTCTAATTTAACTTTAAAATAATACGTGGAAGATTGGCCTTATATTAACAGGAAGCGTATGTAGTACAGAGAACTGTGAACACTACAATACGTTTAAAATTTATCAAGAGGATTAAAACCTCTGGCCTGGAAGGCAACAAGCAACTGCGTAACTTCTAAGGTAAGCGGCCTGCTTCGACTCACTGCTTCCTCTCTCTCGCTTGGCAAAAAGCCACAACTTAAATACTTGGCGTTCGCCAGACAAACTTTGCATAAAAACCTTAACGCTTATAATTCTGGCCGGAAGTAGAAAATAAGAAGTGATAGTAAAGATTTAAAATAAAATAAACGTTAGTAAAACTTAAGATACTTACAAACTTCGCATACAAAATTTCAAATCAAATCCTCTTTCTTATTTTTTTGTGTCGTTCGTTATTAATGTTTAAAGAATGTAAACATTATTTTGAAATACTCTGCAGACAATGAGTCTACAGATTTATATGTTTAAATTCTGACTTTTCAGATGCATGTGATATTATTTATAAACAAATGTTAGTGCATTAATGTAATATTATCATATTTCGTATACCTTAATATATCTTAAATTCAGTAAAAACAAATATGTTCTAATCGTGAAAGCACGGATCGTATAAAAGTTAAAATAAACCCCATAGCGCTATACGTATTTAAAAGCAATATACCTTGGGTAAGAGATACAGTGATTAATTTCTGAGATGTTAGATACCCGCCTGACTAAAAAATGTAGTTATGAAATACTCTGTGCGTATGCATCAAACTCTAGTTAAGAAACGTCTTGAAACTTATATATCAAACATGAGGGTGTGAAAAAAGTGTTTAGTCGTTGATTTTGCAATATTTTTTTCAAACGCAAGAAATGCAGTGCAAGTTGTTTTAAATATTTTTTAAATAAGAAGAAAATCAAGTCAAACTAAAAAGAGATTTTAAGATCATCTTTTATTCTAGTAAGTTCTTAATGTTATAGGAATATCGATTGTATTATTATGAAGTTGGGTGCTCAATTATCCTTAATGACAATAGCAAATGGATTTGAAAAAAGCTATTTTACCTGTGCAGAAGACTCAGGGTTATGGAGCTTCGAAAACGTTGCCCAAGAATGCTCAAAGCATACACTCAGCAAAATTTTAAGCTTATTTCTAAGGCCAGAATGGTGTTATTTATTTATTTTTATTTTTATTGTTGTTATATCAAATGTACCTTTCAAATTGAGAAAGTAGAGAAAATGAAATATTATTTTTGATTTCATTGGTATCTTTACTACGAAAGACCCTATTGGCCAGATAATACGATTACAAAGTCCATGACTCACTCAAGTTTCAAATTCAAAAACAAGATTCAGCGTCATTATGTTCTGTTACTCACTATCGCAACTAGCCATAAAACAGCATTTCACAGCGTCATTCAAATTTTATCTCACCTTTTCGTATTCTAAGCGTTTCATAACTGCGGATGCTGTGAAACTTTATCAGTATCTATAATTCTCACGTGCAAGGTGAAAGCATGGAAGGCACTATTTTTAATCATTAAATTTTAAAGATAACCGCAAACATTCAAGCCTACATTAAAAAAGGAACATCGAGGAATTAACAAAAATAAAATACCTAATGCTGTAATTTGGAACTTTATAACATCGAAAAGTTAAAGACTATGAAGAAGATATTTGAACGTGTTTGGCAACTAAACTCTCCATAGCAGCAGTTTAGAAATTAACTATTACAGGTAAGATCTAGTTTAAAAAATCTTTGATTGTTAAACAAACCAATGAGTTTCAAGGAATTTTGTGATAAATGTAAGTTACATAAACAAAAATATCCAATTTTTTACTTTATTAAAGCTGCAGAGTTATAAAAATTCTTCTGAATAAAATGAATTCTTGATAAAAATTTATTAAAAAAAATTTTCGATTTTATGGAATAATTTAATTAGTTTGGTTTTTTATTCATTAAAATAGGTAAATATCTGTAGGATCAATATTATTTAATACTAAGGCATCTAGATTTTTGCCTAATTTAAAACTCTTTAACTGGATCTAAAGATTGTAACTTAAGTTATTTATCCACATACTTGTTTATTTTTTAGATTCAATTAATTTTAAGAAAAATAAAATTAATTGAATCTAAAAATAAAACACACCTAAGTATCAGAAATATTAAAATAGTTTTGAAATGAAAGGAAACTTAGTCTTAAATTCGAAAATTAGTTTTACAGAAAAGATCTATACATTTTGACAAAATCTGACACAGGTTCCTGTCTGTGCCATTTTTCTAGGAATGCACAACAAAAATGAAAGAAATATATAAAAAAGAAAGAAGCAGCATTTATATTAACAGTCACATATGACCTGCTTAGCCATCGGCCCTATAGGCAAACAGCACTTAAATCCCTACCTATAAAACCAAAGAAATTAAAAAGACGTATGAGATAATTTTTTTAAACCTTTTAAAATGAAACGCCTTTGCAGAACTGCCATTAAAATCATTAACGTTTCTAGTTTGATGTATATAGAAAGCTGTAAATATTAATCATCAATGAAAGGAATGCTTTTGAAAAGTTTTAAGAGCATTTAAATTAAAAGAATCGTTAGAAGATCGACAAGGATTAGAGATGAATGATTTATTATTCCAACTTTTCTGAAGCAAAGACTGAATATTATATAATTATCAAAACATTTTTGGAAGCTTTATCAATAATAGAAGAAAACCCTCTTTTAATTTCAATAAAGAAAAAGAAATTGAGAACTTTATTACATTAAATACTAATAAATCGTTTTAAGAAAATTTCTTCTTAACATTATAATATGTTACATATTCAACACTAAGATGAAAGATTTAAATTAAAGTTTCTTTTTAAAAGTTCGAACTTTACGTTAGGAAATATTTAATTAATAAAATTCCCCATCATTAATCATTATTAGCCTTGTAATTTATCCTTTTAATTTAAACTGTAACGTGAAACTTATTTATCAGTCTAACAGCATTCGCTTAACCTTCCTTGGTCCAAAGAATAATCTTCTTCACAATAAACAGAAATCTAAATAAGCTCTAGTAATATATAGATAAGAGGAAAACTAAACTGAACCTCTATTAGACTACTCTTCAGACTAGTTTGCAGTTTAAAATTTAACACGCAATAGCCATCCCTTCTAGAGGGGTTTCAAGAATTCGTACATTTAATGCAAAATTAAAATATTTAACCATAATGCAGCTTTCAAACATTTATTTATAAATGCAGAATTTAAGTATTTCAAATATTTAATATTATACATAATCTAATTTTCACCTAAATAACGTTTCACTTAATCGGGTTGCAAAACCTCAGGTCAAACAGAAGAAAATTTACTTAACAATCTACATGTCGACTGGGCTGACAGTTTCTCCTCTCAGGCAAATAAGCAATACCGAGTGATTGCAATTCTATTCTGTCTAAATTACAAGTTTTCGTGCTACTTTAACTAATTTGCATTGAGGTGAAGGTTCACTAGAGAAATAGAAGATACAAAAAAGAACTAACGTACAATATCGTTTAGCTAAAAATCCTATAGAATTACACTAAAATTATCCGAAAATACTTCTTGGATTAACGGATTAGTTCCCCCCCCCAAGCCTCCCATTTTATCAAACTTTATCAGTTAATGATTCAAATATTAATTATGTTTCTTAAAAAGTGTTTGTAAACCTCTCTTAATTTTAAATTAATCCTATTTCATTCTTTATTATTATCATTATTATTAATTGGTTTACAGATTTTGTCATAAGACGTATGTATCTTCACTTGTTTCGCGAACATACTGTATCCTGAATAAGAACAGTTAACTTACTGAAGCTCTGTTCCAGATTGTGTGGAACAGACGACACATGTAGGAAGGGTATACGAAACACTTTATTCTCTATTACTTTACAGGTACTCCCGAACTTCCTGATACAGAGACCAACCACTTGTGGTCTGAACGTAAAAATATAAAACTACTAACTAAAACTCTAACTAAAAGCTAACTTTGATTTAGTATACAAATGCCTAGCACTAAGACTGGCCTTTATTTAAAAGGGTACGTATGTAGTACGCCGAGCTGCTGAAATTACAATACGTTTTTAAATATCAAGAGGGCTAAACCTGGCCTTAAAAGCAAACAGCAACCGAGTGAAAAACTCGTATGCCTGCAATGGCAAGTGGCTCGCTTCCTAAATCTCCTTCTCTCTCTCTCTTGGCAAAAGCCACAACTTAAATACTTGGGCGTTAGCAAGACAATTTGCATAAACAAGTTAAAGCATTTAATTTCGGCCAGAAGTAGAAAATAAGAAGTGATAGTACAGTTTTAAAATAAAAATAAACGTTAGTAAAACTTGGGATCCTTACAATGTGATTGTAATTCTTACTTTCAGTTTTTTTCATCAGTTTAAACGATTTGTTTCCAGAAATTGGTCTTGGAATAAAAGATCCTTGAGTCTGCTTTCGAAATGCATAGAGCTTGTATATAAACTAATGCCAATAATAGAGTCCTGTTCTTTTCGGGATCATCCAAGAACAGACCCTACTTTAAAACTAAGCAGAGATTTCTCGCTATATCTTGGAGAAGTGATACTACAGAAGAAGGTTTGAATAACTTTTTTATTTGAACTAAATTTAACACAAAATTGCACTCGCTCTGCGCTCATAATTTACCACCACTTTTGGCTAAGTAATTCGAACAGATAATAAAAATGTAAAATCACAATAAAGTAAGATGGGCTACACGACTGGCTCCTTATTTATCTAAACCGCTAAATCGGCTGCACACAGCAAAACCGAACGTAGAATATCAATATAATCCAAGAGTGTGGCTAAGAACCAGCTATTCGGGTACAAAATTACTTCAAACACGCGCATAAATTCGGAATTAACTCTTCTACTGCTACTCACGAAATCTTAAAACCGCTGCTTAAGTACCTTTTCCATTCCGTGTAAACAAATCAACATTCCGTGTAAACAAATTCCGTGTAAACAAATCAAGTAACAATTTTAATTACGTGTAAACAAATCCGGTCACTTCGGATTTGTTTACACGTAATTAAAATTTACATTCTGGCAGGAAACTGAAATAAAGAGGAAGGAAAGCTTCACAAACTAAAAAATAATTTATTAGAATAAAATAAGGTCTTTACAATATAAAAATTAGCTAATTAGAAAATATAATTCAGTATGCTAGTTTCAGAGCAAAAATGAGTGAGGAAACTTTCAAAACCTTTAGAAAAAAATTAATATAAATACTTAAATGATTACCTCGTTAACTTTACACGAACTACATTAGCATTAATCGTTCACTACATCAGGAGTAACTTTTTTCAGCAAATGTCGGCAAATTAGCATCAATCGTAATCGGCAAATTAGTATTAATCATTTCAGCAAATTAACATTTATCGTTAACTATATTAGCAGGAACATTTTTCAGAAAATGTTTATGCTTAATAATATTTCAGACAGCAAAACGTTTGGTAGAATAATAATAGATTCTGGTTTAAAATCTAAGAATTCCGTGTACAAACAGAGAGATTATACAACTATCAGCGCTTTTAATTTCTTGGACTAGTTCACCTAGTTAACATTTGAATATTTAAAATCAGTTTGAAAATTAAATTAAATAGTTAAATTAGGCAAAACAAATAACATATTTCGTTAATTTTACAGTTGATACTGGTATACGTCTCTTCCGAAGAAGAAATATATTTTCGTCTACAGAATATATGCAAATTAATATATACATTATATATACATTATATATACAAATTTAATGCATCTAAATTAATTAGTAAATTGGAATGAAAGCAAAGCAATTCCTCTATAACAGAATACTTGCAACCGTGTATAATAGTTATAACATAGTCTCAGAACTAATAGAATTAAAGAAAGAATTCGTAGTAGAAACCAATGCCAATGATTAAAAATTACGGAGTGCCTATGGTTCAAAACCAATGTACACTGACTACAAATAAGTATTTGGACACCTATGCAAATGACGATATCTGCGGTCCTAAGGTACGTCACGGACTCCGCCGGTATATATCGTGTAGGAAACAGCATCAGCTTTAGTCGCATGCAAGATGCCTCGCAGTTCGGAGCTCTCTGATTTCGAGAAAGGTATAATTATCGGGTATCACAAATGTGGCCGATCCTTAAGGGATATATCTAGCGATCTGAAGTACCCAAAATCGACAGTGGCCTATGTGATTAAGAAGTGGAAGGTGAGCGGTGATTGTCGGAATGTGCCCCAAGTTGACAGCCCAACGAAACTGGGAGATAGAGATACCACTAGCTGTCATACAGACTTGTGGAAAGTATGCCCCGGAGGGTCCACGCTGTAATTACCTCTCGTGGAGGCTCTACCAACTATTGATTTTGAATAAAGTTAGTTTTTCTTTTCTATCACAGGTGTCCAAATACTTATTGGTAGTCAGTGTACCTCCTCATCAGAAGCGAGCAGAAATACGAAAATTGCATAAGTAGTAAACTTGATGCTCACTAGACGGAACCACATAGCTCGAGAAAGGTTCATAGTACAACAATCTCGAAAATGAAAATGCAAAAGGGAAGATATACAAAATTATACAAATAAAAAATTAATATCCTTTTATTGAAACTCCAATTCAGAACTTATCAGGGAAAAATGAGTAAAAGCTTCATAATCGTGCGTTTGTTCTATTAGTTCATCTGCATACTTGTTTCTTAGTCAATGGACTGATTTCTTTTTTCATCATCGAATGATTTCAGTTTTAATTTTTAGTTACAAAGTTTTATTTTGAATACATGTGTTGTCCACGTGTTGAGCTTTTCAGACGAATTTACACAAATCTTAAATGACGTTAGAGAATGTAGTAAAGTTTAGAATATTAAATCATTATCACATCATTTATATACTAGTTTTATTTCGTTTAGTTTATTATGTAAAAGCACACTATCCGCCTAGGGGAAAGGATGCCTTTATGGAGGGCTTTCTAAGAGAAACTGGCTAGTATGCACGTTACACAATCGGAAATAAACGAAAACGTCTCTGCAGCTAGCCAGTTCGCCTAGAAACAAACCCAGATCGGAACTACCAGTGTTTAACGATTTTACGGCACTGCCGCTGGCAGGCCCATCATTCATATAAAGTTGTAGACTTTACTTCACTCTAAGATTTTTCAAAATCCTTTTATAACATTCGCCCCATTCTTCTCCTCAATGCAACCATTCTCTTTTAACTGTTAAAAAGAGTTAAAAGAAGAGTTAAAGAGGTGTTTCAACAGGCACCCGGGAGTATTGTTTCAATGAATACCATCCGTAAGGAAGCACATCTGCTTGGTTTTCATGGTCGTGCTGCTGCCCATAAGCCTTTGATCACAAAGTCCAACCGCGCTGCTCGGTTAATGTGGTGCAAAGCACATCGAAATTGGACCGTAGATCAGTGGAAACGAGTTCTTTGGAGTGACGAATCAAGGTTCACCCTTTACCGTTCGGATGGCAGGGTCTGGGTCTGGCGTCTACCTAGAGAACGTCTCCTGCTAGAATGCATTGTGCCAACAGTCAAGTTCAGCGGAGGTGGAATTATGGTCTGGGGGTGTTTCTCTTGGTATGCCAATATCACCCCTTTTAACAAAACGAGTAGCAAACAGTGCCTGATATATGAAGTTACTAATGGTAAATATCGCAAATTGAGATTTTTCCCATAAGAGAATGATCATAGGCTCGATGAAAGTGAAACCTTTTAGATGGTTCATAATTTTTATCAACTTCTGTGTATTACACGATATTTATTATACCTTCTGCTCGGCAAAAGATGTTCTTTCAAATTCTGCATCATGCTTCATAAGACTGAGTATTTTTTGTCATAATAATCCAACTACTACTTTCACCATATAACCGTCATTGATTATCTATAATAACACAATTAAATATTTAATGCAGCTTAATTGTCTAATATATTAAGCCAAATTTACATACATTTTGGAATAATTTATGCATTTTTTATTTTTCAGAAAGGATGCAGTTCGACAGGATTCAATGTTATTGACAATGATGTGAAACTTCGTGTATGTTTCATACACGAACATACATCCAAATATCCTCCTACATCTCAAATAATGACGGGAACAGGTCCGATTTCCACTATATCTCAACGGGAGAGTATCTCTCAGTGTTCATACCAGGGAACAGTGTATGATCCACCAGTTCCTCTCCACTTCGAAAATCCGAAGCCTTCAGATCCCAAACTATCACTGTTGCAAATTGTTCGGTCCAAGCTTCTGAAGATAGGAGCACAGTTAAAGAAGCGAAAACTTGAATTTGTTGCTTTTCTGTTCACATTCTCTTATGTACTAACAAGAATTTCTTCCACAAGTATGATTTTGGATAAAGTATGCCTCGTACACTTCGAGTATCCCGAGTTCGTTTGCCAAAATTTACAAAATTACTCAGAAATTAAATCTGCAATTGAAGTCGTGGCCACGAACTACCAATTAGGCCACATTCTGATACAAACTGTCCCAGCGAGTTTATTAGCCTGTTTCGTAGGGCCATGGAGCGATCATTATGGTCGTCGATTTCCAGTGCTACTAGCTTTAACAGGAATGATCCTAGATAATTTCGGATCTGTCTTCTGTGCGTATTACTTGAATACTCGAGTTGAATATTATTATATACCTGCCATATTTACTGGAATGTTTGGAGGTGTAGTATCGTTACTGGCTGTAGTTTACAGTTACGCATCGGATACAACTCCTGTTGAAAGAAGAACAATGAAATATGCTTTTATAGAAATTTCCTCAGGTTTTGCGTTACCATTAGGAGCACTGTCTGGAGGATGGATTTACAATTTCTTAGGTTATCCAGCTGTTTTCTTTTTTTCTTCAGGCGGTATGGTCCTTAGTTTCATATGGGTTTCGTTCATGTTAGATGAAACACGTGGCATAGGAAACAAGGATACGTGGAAGATTAAACTAAAGAATTTATTTTCCTGCAAAACATTTAAGGAGAGTTTCATCGCTACTGCAAAAGAAAGACCTCATAAAGGTAGAAAGCAAATAGTGCTACTGATCCTTTCAATGTGTTTTATAATCATCACAACTAATTGTAAGTAATAATGCTTTTTATTATGTTTAGAAAGTACAATTTTAAGTTTTCTTCTGTATTTACTTACATACTTTCTAATCATAGATAAAAAAATTATCATATAGGTCCTCATTGAAAAGCAGGAAAATTAATAATCAAAATATGCCATTCAGTTTTTATAGTTATGAGTTATCTTACTCGTATCACAGTGGATGACTTAAAATACGAAGCAATTCGAACCTGATCGCAATAGTTGTAGCCAAAATATTTAATAACAACTTGTAATTTATTAAATTTTGTCAAAGTTGCGTAAAAAACAATAAAACAAGTCAATAGTTAGAAAAGACTTTATACCATAGATATAGCTTTTACAATCTCTCAGTAAAATCTTCCAATTCTGCCAGTTTATTGGAAGGCGTTTTACATTATCAGCTTGTCCATTTCAGTTGCTGTCCCACAGTGACTACCCTAAAGCACTGAAAACTTCTTCTTTGCTGTTGTAATAGATTCCTTTTTGGAGCATCAGTGTTTCATTTTGGCGAATAGATCATAGTCACACGGATGCACGTAAGTTTAGCATGGTTCAGTGTTTCGATATCTCTCGTCGCCATGCGTCGTAGGAGATTCATGAGAGTGCTCACATTTTGATACCTTGCATTATCATGGAAAATGATGGATTTGCGGGTGAACATATGTCGTCGTTTTATCTTAAATTCTGGACATTGATAATGTAATCCATTATTCTCCGTGACAATGTATAGTCGATATGTGATGTCAGTTCTCCATGACAGTGAGCGACAATCATAATGCTAGATCTGTCATAGATCTTCTGCAATGGTGGGAATAGAGAGGTTGTGGAACAACTGCCTTACTCATTCGATATGACTCTGTGTGAATACCCGCCAAAATAACAAGCAATAATAATAACAAACCACAAGGGATCTATTACGATAATACACACAAGGCTATCTAAACTATAGGACGGTGCAATCATTGTGAACTGTTGAACATCATTGTGAACATGTTGCTGGTATATGACGTCTTTTAGTAGCTTAGGCAGAATGTGAAAAACATGGCAGGTGATTATATTCGTCTGATTTTTTGAGTGGTCCATTGAAAGACATATAAAAGGTATTTTAAGGTAATACAAAATTTTCTTCTAGTTGCATCAAGATAGGCATATAGATAATTATTTCGATAATGTATAAAATTATTACAGGAAAATCGCATAAGCAAAAAGATTTCATTTATTTATTTATCTATTTATTCCTTTATTTATACGTTTTTCTGGTTCTCTTGTACTTGGCATATGTAGATTTCCTTTTATCATTTTATTTTTTTGTACGAGTGTACATTTTGAAAATATATCAGAAATTCAGCTTTCCGTTCATTGTTTCGCACTTTTCTGCTTTTGTTTACTTGATTGTTGTAAACAGCTGTGTTTTATTATGTACACTTTGTATGATATTATGTATCATGTAATTATGTATGAATATTTTGGTATTTTACCTTATTTCGTATTGTTTCACCATTCCTATGTTTGATTTGTCTTAAACCTAACTTTTCCAAATTCCTCTCCTCCCTCTTTCCGCTTGACTTTCAAATATCTGCCCTGTAGTTCCTGTATCTTTTAGGATAATCCACTGGGATTCAGATGACAAAGATATCTTCCTTCTCCATCACTTTTATCTGCAGGCTGCTCTTTGTTTGTCTGTCACGTGGTTTAAACTACTTTCTGTTAAGAAATGCGTAAGGACTGTTTGTTGCAATAATGTAATTAATATTATATATCTAAGCCCTCAAAAATATGCAGCGTTTCAAAGACAATAATTTAAGCCTGTATCTAATTTTTGCGTTCATACATCATTAGAAATTACTATTTTACTATCACAGTGTATTTTCTTTCTCATTTTGCATTTTCGTATCTCTTTTCATTTCTACCCTAAGTGTACCTAGCCATTTTAAAATTTAATGATATTTTCCGCATTTTGGCTTAACTTGATATTAGAGACGGATATAAAGACATGTCAGAGTGGGTTCCATAGTTCTATATAGAATTTACAGAGTACGAACTGAAGCTGTCTAGTGTAAAATATCCGAGCATCTAATCAAAATATTAATAATTGGATGATCAGCAACTTTATTTCAGGGCAAATTCTCTCAGTTACTATTTTTTAATTTTAGGGTATATTTTAAGATTTCTCAAATATCAGATTTTGTTCTTCAAATAACGGATACATTCGCTAATTTTGGATTTTTTCCCGTTTTCAAATAATTTCTCATCCTATTTCTGTGTTAAATTACTTCTATATTGTAATAATTGTATTGTAGTTTCAGCTAGAATTTTAGCAAAAGCGCACTCACAATAATCGCATTTCAAAATGGTGTAAGTGCAAGCATGCTTGATGCGCATTCGGGAAGCGACATATAACGACTCTACTACTTAATAAAGAAAATATGCACTTGTATTATAAAATGCATAAAAACATCTTCACTTAAATGAAAATCTTGACCTAAATTGGCGTGTTGATTATGTGTCTACATTTTGACTAAATTTTAAATGTACATTTCATTTAAAAACTATTAATATAATGTTTAATTATGGACTAATGACTTGAAATTACGTGAGGTAATGCAACGTTTTTCCTAGATATCCACAGCCTCTGAAATGTTTATATAAATCTTCGAACGCGAAACGTTTTGCGAAAACGTAATGTAAAACTACCGCAAAGGTTTCACAACGTTACATTGCTTCTCGCGACTACCTACTGAATTTACTTATTTTTTCTGCAACAAAATTTTGTCTTAGCAGTGCAATGTAAACGATAGAGAAAAATGAAATTAACTGCTGATTACCATAATGGCTGTGGAATTGATGTGTAATAAAAACCATCAAACTGTTAATTTATTGTCTTAGTTTATTTAATTCCTTTTTTTATCAGCCACTGGAGATGTAAATTACCTATATGTGCATCACCAATTCAATTGGAGCAATACGGAATATTCCACGATCACTGCTCTCTATTCTGTGTTTGGAATAGTTCTCTTGTTTACAGTAATACCTCTATTAAAATTCCTCAAAGCTGGAGACGCAACGCTTGGATTACTAGGAAGCATTTCACTTTTGATAAAATATACGGGAGTGGGCTTGGCCTGGAAACCTGTTGTGTACCATGTAGGTAAGTAAAATAGTATATATAATTTTTATGCAACATTTACTTTTATTTACTTACTTATTTGTTTATTTTGAATTTTCGCTTCAAAAATCTGCAAAAATATTTTTTCCAAATTATTTGTAACGTAGCTGTCTTTCCAAACTGAAAACTTATACGGTGTGAACAAATTTTTGGAAGTCTGTCTTTCAAAATCTTGCAACCTAAAGAATGTAATTAAAGGAAAAAAAGTTCCAAGATCGTACATATCAGAAGATTTAAAAACTTTACTACCAACACAAGACACATATAAATGCAGTGAAGCACTGTTTATATTATGCATTTTCCATTTATATAGCTGTTACATTTACATGTATATACATTCTTTTCTGTTTCTAATACATTCGCATTCATGTCAATAGTAAAACATTTGTTTCTGTGACGCACCCATCGTTAATATGCTATTTTTCCCTTTGACTTGTACATGGATCCTTCTTTTGGCAGCGCATATAGTTTGTTTGTTTTTTTTTTTTTTTTTTTTTTTTTTTTTTTTTTTTTTCGAAACTGATTTCCTTTTTCTAGTAATATTTGGAAAGAAAATGAATGGATTACACTAAATGTCTCGGACTGATCCAAGAATTGAGATTCGTTTGGTGGATGGAAAGAGAGTCTCTGGAGGAATACAATGAAGAAAGAAATGTGAATGACCCGATAGTTTTGCTTAACGGGAAAAACATCCGTACTTTGCCGTTCGATACACACTGTTTGTACTCTTCTTTAATCTTAAGTTTGTGCTAAAATTATCAGGTTCAATGTTCCGCCTTACTTTCTTTGGGAACATGCAGAGACCTGACTCGGAACAGGGAGCTTACTAAAGCTGTGTCCAATAAATGTGGGAAGTAGACAAGATACACAGGAAGGTATAACGAAACCCTTTATTTTTCAACTCTTTACAATAATTTCCGTACTTCGGAATACAGAGACCAACTACTTGTGGTCTGAAACGTAAGAATATAAAAATATTAACTAAACTAACTCTAACTTAAATTTGGAATAATAAACAAGGGCCTACGTGGAAGATTGGCCGTATATTAACAGGAAGCCGTATGTAGTACAGAGAACTGTTAACACTACAATACGTTTAAAATTATCAAGATGATTAAACCTCTGGACTGGAAGGCAACCAGCAACCGAGTAAAACTGCTAAGGCAAGCGGCCTGCTTCGACTAACTCCTCCTCTCTCTCGCTTGGCAAAAAGCCACAACTTAAGTACTTGGCGTTCGCCAGACATATTTGCATAAATAAGTTAAAGCTTTTAATTCTGGCCGGAAGTAGAAAATAAGAAGTGATAGTAAAGATTTAAAATAAAAATAAACGTTAGTAAAACTTAAGATCCTTACAAAATGTTTAAAAAATGGCCTTCTGATCAAAACACAGAATTAATATTTTAATGATATTTTACAAGAATACAAGATTGATAAACCAAATTTATTGAAATACTAGATATTCCTGTGTCAAAACCATGTAAACAATGATTTCTGGCAGAAGGATTATTAGTATTTTGAGAAAGCATGTGAGGACTATCTGCTTACAAAGGAATGCTTTCGTACAGGGTGTTTTAAGGGAAATTCGCTGACAGTCATGCTTTGCATGCAAAAAGCTAGGAAAACGTTCGACAATTTGGCAGTCTGCCGTCATTTGGAGCACAGAGGTAAACAACCGTTTAATGTTATTTATCACTCGGTCACTGAAAAGATTTTCTGCTATGAAGAGATTACATGCACAAGGAGAAATTTTCCGAGGTTGAAGTTATTTTACTGGAGATTTTCAATCGGTTTTTAAAAATAACAACAGAATAGAATATTTTTAACAATTTAAATGTAGCATGATAAAATTAAATTTTTATAACAGCAACCTTAAAACTGTAAAGCTAAACTATACTATCTCATCTTAAAATAAAATTTCAGGCATATTTCTCATTAAACACTTCAACTATTTCTTGAAAGACACATAAACGGTTCTTTACTCTACTTAACTTACAAAATCGTACTTCGCAACATTAATTTTTTGCCTGCAGTGAAATTTGCATGTTAGTGAATTTTTAGTAATTTCACTTGTCCATACAGCACGTTAAAAATTATATCTGAAGAATTTATGAACGTAAATAATAGGTTTTACATTTAAAATAAGCATGAAATGGTTCTCTAAGCAACAAAAAAGACATTTTTCCTGCTGGAAACAACTGAAGTTATGGAGCGCTTAAACTGTAAAATATTATCTCTCTTGACTCTTTTTCAATTCATGTTTTATATCATTAGCCATGGCATTTTCGATTGGCATTGGCATCTGACAGTGATGCCGTTACTCCTACCATCCGTAGAGAGATAATTGCAGCTGTATTCTTTTGGCGAGTCACATTACTTAACAGTCCCTGCAGATGGCACTGGTGTTAAACACCTCACCTGTGGACTCTAGAGCAAAGAAAGAACATCATATATAGCCATGAATTACGTTACATGTTATGAACGCTTATGAACCTGATGAATGCCAGTTAAACATTATTTACTAAAGCATATTATTCTTACTCTGAAACACGGAAGAGAAGAAGTTGGGCTATTTTTCTTGATTCGGTTTTACTTCACTAGAGTTTGCGCCTCGAACCTTGAATGCTCAAAGCAATGAGAAACACGGAATAATTCTGCGTTATCAACATAGTGGCAATAATTTGGAAAACGTAATAACAGAATGGTTTGAGAAAATAGGAATGAATGAACACCATTAGCTGTCTCAAAGTCCAGATCTCACCCTATCAAACACCTCGGGATCAGTAACAGTGCCGGTTGAGAATCATATCAAACTGTCCAAAAGTTGCCGCGGAATTGTTCTCCGTATAGCAGGAGAAGTGAAAGAAAATACACTCAGACATCTGACTATACTTAATGGAAAATCTTCCTCGAAGTATAGTTGTTATGATACTGGCGAATGGATGACTTACGTCACTACAGTTGAGCTAGCATTAATGGCAAAAATGTGTTTATAAGAAGCCCATCAGGATTCTCTTATATGTGTAGTTAAGCTGTATAAGACAACTGAACGCTAATAATTCGTCCCTGCTTTAAATCTTTGAGAATGAGCTGGCGGCATGAAGCTCTCATGGTTTTACTCTATATATAATGTTAATACTAATCAGTGTCCTTTAACTCCCATAATTTATCCTTTTCTTTAAGAAAATAAACTTCGCATGCTTTACATTAATCTCTCTGCTTTGCTGTTAAAAAATGGCTGGTTCATTAATTAAGACAAAGCACATGACAGCTAATATCTGCCCAAAGATAGGACGTCTAGCACTGAAGACTTTTTGTGAGAAGATGGCTCTTATTCACATTACGCAAGGGAAAAAATCCCATATAGCAAATCACTGAGTAAAATTTGTTTGAACTAGCTCTGTTTAGCAGTCTCATTCAGATGGCCAATAATGAACATTATTATAAAGTGAAATGCAAAGTTAATAATATGAAAAAACTTTCTCAGTATGCATAACAGGTAAAACAAAATATTAACAGGTTTGTCATTATTAACAGATAGACTCTCCTCTTTACTTTTCCACCTATAACAGGACAGCCATCCGCTGAATTTAGCTAGCTTTTCGTGCAAAAGCTCCTTTATCGGAGCTATTTTCATAACTGTGCGCTCGTGTAATGTGCCCTACCTCTGCCCTCGGGAGATAAAGCGAATATGCCTAACTATAGATGAGAAAGCTAAAATAAGCGATTTCAACAAATTTTGTTTGAAATTATTATTATTAGGAGAAATGCATGTGAATTTTAACTATTATATTTACTTAACGCATTTTCTTTTCTTTGTTTTTCCTTTTTTTCCAGTTAATGTTATAAAATACATTTAGTCACTTGTAATCAGATAACAGCACATAAAAGTACATCGATAGTAATATGTGATGCAAACTTAATGAAAGTGTCTTATGCTGAAGGTAAAGAAATGTAATTTAAGCACTAAATAAAACAATATACATTTTACTTTGCATTTATTTAAAGTGCTTACTTATTATTACACCTAGCATAGCAATTACTAAAAAAAAGCATGCTTTTATTTGAAACTAAGTTGGACAAATGGCACACCTGGTACTGACAGATCAGCAAGAAATTATGGCGATAACTCAAAGCATAATTTTAAATTTAATACTAAATTTAAGTATCAGATAGCCTAAAGCTACGCAAAGTAAATTAACCGCGAAAGTTGGCTCTTAAGCTTACACCGGCATGAAAGTACTATCGGTAAGAATAAGCAACGAAGACAGAATCTCTTATCTTAGAATAGCAAACTAGTAACATGATTTTCAGCAAGCAGAACACGCTTTGTCTAAGCAGTCTCAAACCCTCCCTTAAATACGCAAACTATATTTGCATTCTGTTAGGAAAACGGAAAGAGAGAAGTGACAGTAAGATTCTTAACATAAAATAGCTGATTAAACAAATTAAAATAAACCTTACAAAGTTAAAAATTGATTCGTGGATATTCGGTGATATATATTCGTGGACATGAAAAAATATGTTTATATTTGTGCTTTTTTAACTAGCTGCCATTCTTTTAGTTTCGCTGTATAAACATTTCCTTCAAGTATCTGAATTTTTTTCCAGCCAGCATCTGCGGATTATTAGGTGGTTGTGCTCCTTTAGCAGTTCGTTCTCGTATATCTAAAGTAGTCTGTAACGAAGATTTAGGTAAAGTATTTAAATATAGATACTCAATTTTCTTCAAGTTTAACCACTGAAGCTTATTAAATAAAATTAATATTATCATTTGCTAAAGAGATTTCTGATACTGTTCAGTTTTCCTGAATGCTCAGAAGCTGAACTACAGTAATACTGCATTGCTCATTTTTGAAAATAATATGTATTTATGTGAAAAAGTTAAAATTAATTGAAATACTAGAAGCCATTTTGATAAACATCAGTTTTATATTTAAGGTAAGATAAATTTAAATGTATAATAATGTATTATCATTCAATGTTAACTCAAGTATCTGAGTATAAATTCCGCAAAGTAGTGCTACCCATAATTTCATGGGAATATTAAAATCCTCTCTGCTGAGAAGTTCTGTTTACGATCTTTCTGAATTAGATTGCTATGTCGAATTCATGCTAATAAATAAAGAAGCCTGTCCGACATATTTTTAATATCAACTTTTTTATGCTGTTATTTTATTGTACTTGAATATGGGTGAAGTAAAAGACTAACGCATGGGCTTAGGAAATTCACAAAAGGGTTCAAAAAGTTTTAACGTTTTGCAAATGCTTTAACAATAACAAAAATGGTTAAATGCCAGTTGAAAATAATGACCATTTTTTATGTTCCGCGTCTTGCACAGGCTTAGAGACCGTTGCATAAATTTCTGAGATCGTGGAAAATTCGTGATATCAGCGAGATTGTCAAATAGCTTTGTGGTAGATGCCATTTAATTTTATCAGATGACGTGTAAACTTACCGTTAAGTTTGTACCATGAACGCATTCCTCTCTCCTATTATGTAACACGTTTTGTTATACTTTTTTCGCCCATTTTCGGTAGTTGTCTACAGCTAACTCTTCCGACTTCTTTCTCACCCTTTAAATAAAAATGAAGCTGAAACGAAATAGATTTAACGACGTAAGTCCAGGAAGAATCTCAAGCATTACTGAAAGCAGTACAAAATGACAACTTTTTTAAATGTTTCTAATCGTGGAAATAATGCTGGGATTGTCTTCCCATTGCAATGAAGAACTAGTCAAAAACCATAGAGAAGAATAAGATATGATATAACTTAAATAAATATTTCCAAGGGATTTCGCGAAATTTTGGATAAACCTTTGTATACTATAAATAGATTTTGTATTAATAACTACACAAATTCAATTTTAGCATGGTCAAATACTATCGAGTCAAATCGATATCGAGTTTTCGGGTCAATAAATGTCAGAAAATAGTTCATAATAAGTTCAGATGTTTAGATAAAAATTAAGAGATGGAAAATATTTACAAGGTAATAACTTTTTTGTAAAGTTATGTAAATGTTCATATGTAATAGAATACCAAATTCGTTGCTGTTACTATAATCGTAAAAACACTGAAGAAGTTTGTTATGAAAACATAATTCTAGCTAAGTAAAATTTTTACTTTTAAATTAGATATAAAAAAAGGAGTCTGAAGGACTTCAGATTTTAACCAATTGCCCAAAAGACCTCTTTTAAAGTTTAATATGATTCATCAGTAGAAATTATTGATAGAAATGGCCCAGGTAGAATAGAGAAACATTTTAGACGACATTAGATGAATTTAGATTTAGACTACTAGCAAGAGAGTTATTTTCCATATATATTATATATATATATATATATATATATGTATATATATATATATATAATTCTTTAAAACCATTAATGTTTTTAATTATATATACCATAAATTAAATGCATTTTTATTTAGTACATCAATCAGGTTAAATGTAAAAAACGTAGTGTTTTTAAGAACTGCATGTATAGCTTAGTTGAAAGTTAATTAAATAACTTACATTTTTCCGAATGTACCAAACCAGAATGAAAAAAAAAATTGGTATGTCATTTCACAAAATGTCCGATCTTGCGTCAGAATACCTATGTTAGAACAATGCTATACGTAAATAAATCTAATATGTCGCGCTTTCGAGACATAAAAATGCAAGTTAAATTTTGTCAATCGGTCAGTCAGCCTTCAAAGTTTATCTGAACATATAATAAACCTGCAAATTTTTAAATTAGTAAACAATTTCATACTACTTATAATAACGATTCCGTTTCTTGAATTACTCATATTTTATTGCACTATTCTATATCAAAACATTTAATATTTCCTATAATAATACTCAAAAACACTATTTTCTCTATACTAATTTTTCAAAATTATTTCATTCACTTAAAAATTCTTATCAATAATTCAGAATTTTCAATATAAATTCAAAAATATCATTATTTATCTTAATATCCTTCCCTAAAAATAGTTTAAATACCTTAAAATTCGTTACTTCAGTTTATCACACATAATTATAAAATGTTAAATCTTTGAGAAGAATAACTTCATACTTTTACAAAACAACATGATTAAATTACAGAAATTTTAAGAGAAATTTAAATGCAAAATTTGGAGTTCGAAGCATATTTAATAATTTTATCTCATCGGAAAGTAACCCTAAGTTCACACGAAGATAACGATTTTGAGTTTTTGGCTGACGAAATGCTAAAGCGGAAGTGCAAATAATAATTTGCTGTAGCACAATACCCCTTGAAGCAAAGCACAGATCCACGACTTTGAACCAACTGTAATGCTGAATCTCTTACACATTAAGTTACTAATGACTTTTTTTTCTTTCTGAATATTGTTGAGATGGTCGAAATACTAAATGCAATACTCCTTTTCATGAGACGTTCGAATTATTGGATTTTGAACTTGCAGATGAACGAACAAACTTACTTGACTTAACTGAGGAAACCCAACTGAGGAATAAAAGTTCCATTGAGGTCAGTAGCATGTGATCCAATCCTGATCGACTACAAATGTAACTACAGCAAATTTTGGAAGTCACGGTCAAGATAGTTTAATGTGATGCGCCCTGCGGCACCAAGTTATTCAGACAAGATAGCTTACCTAAAAACTCATATAGCTATTTTGAAACTCACCAATTATAGGGCTTTTGAAACTTATTTTACTTACGACATTTATTTTATGAAATATTATTTGCTCTAAAATACTACTAAGATATTCAAGTGAAATGGGTTTTAAATTTTTAATGCAATAACGAGCTCCTTGAACACTGAAGACAAATGTAATATCTTATACAGCGTCTTTTGGCAAGAATATCATATATCATAGATTCTTCTCATAAACTCATTCTATAACTTCTCGTAAATTGAAAGTAGTAAACATTTAAAATATTTTTCTATCGAGATGTTTAATAAAAGAGAAATATAGTTTTTCTTTTTTAATCTGAAAGTTTGCAGATATTATATTACGCCCAATGGGCGTTTTTTCCGTTTACAGACACGTGCATGTTTCAAGAGCATTTCGGTTAACGCAACATTGGACTAAAGATATTTAAAAACTGAACATCTTTAGAAATTCCAGCAGAGAGTTTCGCCGCTGGAGTTGAAAATGTTTTATTCTTTACAGTGCTGCTGCTGCTCGCTCTGAAATTGTTGAGTTTTTAATCAAAATTCCGTTTAAAGGTTTACAAAATATGAACTAATAAAACAAATTCCAATTTTGGGCATCCAGGTGCCCATGTTCGGACGGAGGACTATGTTATGCAAAATTTGATGATTCTATAGGTATCGCTGCATTTTCACAATACGAGGAACATACGTACATTCATGTAGATTCTTCATTATTTAGTTTCTTTAAATACAGTACAGGACGATAATATTTTATGGCAAGAATTTGAAAAGTGATTGGAAGCAAAATGCTGTTTCGAGACTAATAAGCCTTCTGGGATAACTCTCATTTGGGCTTAAAAAATAAATAAAATTTCAAGTGTACAGATGTCAATATTTTGTAGAATAAAAAGTCTCAAAGATTCAGAAGTGTAAACAGTTTTTGAAATACAATTATTTGTTAAACTCTAGAAATTATTTTAAAACATACATATGGAAACCAAAATCGCGTTTTCGACAAAACAAGTTTGCAGTATTGGCTGAAATTGAACTATGATTTTAATTTAACAATATTTACATATTCCTATCATTATAAAGATTACATTTTTTCTTTGATATGACATAAAACACTCAAAACAACACATAAAATGCATTTTGACGAAAAGAGTAGAAATTTAAGTGTGCAGTTTTGATGTAACGTCGGGTATATTTTAAAACACAAATAATTTTTTTACACCATAATAAGCAGCAAATGTTTTCCGTACAAGTTTTACAAAGAAGTATACTTTTATATAGTATTAATCAGAAGAATTGTTCGTGATAAAACTTATTACTTACAAATATAAGTAACTTTAACAAGAAATTAATCCATTTTATATTTGCAGGGAAAGTATTCTCGTTTGTGGCAACAACTGAATCATTGCTTCCTATTTTGGCAACAGTTTTCGTTTCGCAGATGTTTAATGCTTTCATCACTACTTTTCCTGGAATGCCATATATAATGCTAGCCATTTTTCTGATCGTTCCATTATCAGTTTTTATGTAAGTATCAAAGCCATCAATCTGAAATTCAGCTATTTTACGAATTAGTAAATAAATAAGTACAAATAAAACCATGGCAAATTTTAAACAAAATTAAGTGTGTTCTAAGTTAAAAGTAACAGAAGTAAAATAACAGGTACAAAAGTAACAGAATACAGTATGCATTTTAGCGGTAAAGAATGTAATTTAAAATTTCCTTTCCGTAAGAGAAAATTTCAAGTTCTTAAATTTAAATTAATTGAAAAAGACCATTGTAATTTTACATTATTTCCACTTTTAAATAAATTGCCTGAATTCATCTACAAAATTTCATTTTAACGAATAAATAAATAAATAAAACTGAGACAGTTTCAACAGGCCAATGCGCTACCGCAAGTTGCATTCAACGTTCAATAATTCTGCATTGCTCGCCAAGTCACACGTCTGCTTTGGCTTGCACGTGCTCCCAGTAAGCCGCATATCGAAATAGTCTAGCCGATGACTTAACAAACTAATAGTTTGAGTATATTACTCGGGGCTACAAAGAAAATTTGGCAGCATGTGGAAATAGGATTGGACTGACTCCCAAGCACATATCTAAAGCCTGTTTCTTTCTGTACAGACGTCTGTCACATCAATTATTTCCAGCCACTTAGTTTTATGTGCTTCACCAGATGGAACGAGACTGTAAAATTTTAATCAGCTCATCCTTGTGGCCCACCAAAGGCCGAGCGGTGAAGTCGTTGAACACTGGTAGTTCGGTCCGAGGTTCGAATCCCACGAACGGGTTGGCTGCATGGCCGTTTTCATGGTGCTTCCGAAAACTTTGTAAATGGGACTGCTATAACACGTATCCCTTTTTTACTTTCAATCGGCTGCACCAAACTTATATGCAGAACTCCAAAAGTTAAGGAACAGCATGTTTTCTGTGTCTAATTTGAGAATGAAGCAACAAAGAAACAAGAAATTTACATGACATGTTCACTAAGCAGTTGTTTAATTAATGCGACATAGAATGCTTCTAAAGTTCAACACAAACATGAATTACACCAAAAAATTGCCATGGCAGAAAAATCCAATCTTGGAGAAACAGTACATCACAGCTTTTTGAGGAATCATGCGGTGGTAACATTACAAAAATGGGTTCTAATAAGGAATGTGTCCACCCCATTGGCATCAGCGACGTTCCATGCTGTCAATTAAGTTGTTGGTAAGCGAAATAGGAAGCAAAGACCAGACACGGAGTAATCCTTGTTCAAGCTCATCCAAAGACCTTGGAGGAGGACTTAAAGCAGCAACCTGTCCCCCAAGGTAGTCCCAAAGTTGCTGTATTTGATTCAGGTCTGGGGATTGAGATTGGCCAGTCCATGCGCTGCATAAAGTGACCCTCAATACATTCTTCAGCAACCCGAGCTCGGGGCGGTCGCGCATTGTCGTCCATCAAAAGAAATCCAGGACCAATAGCAACGGCATATGGACGGACATATATTAGTCAATGATCTCGTCTCAATATCTCACACCGGTCAAAGTTCCTCTATGGAACACATGCAGCTCAGTGTGACCATTGAGAGAGATCCCAGCCCAAACCATTATTCCACCACCTTTGTAACTGTATCTTTCCACAATGTGGGATTGGATGTATCTGGTGCGCTGTTCTCTTCAGAGCAGCTGACGACCTGAATCACTTTCCAGTGTGAAACTGGACTCGTCTGTGAAGAGAACAGACGCCTATTGTTGACTGGTCCAGGAGAAGTGTTCTCTTGCCCAACATAAACGGGCACCTCTGTGTCCTCGGGTTAAGCGTACACAAACAACTCGTCGCCTTGCATACATTGTTGCAGGTGTTTGCTCACTCTGGTAGTTGAGATTCCTGTTCCTGTTGCCACTAAATGATGTGCCATGAGCTGAGGCACAGTAATGTTATTCCTCCTTCGGGTCGAAAGGGCTAAATAACGGTCTTCTTCAGATGTTGTAACTCTATGTCTGCCCGAAACATGTCTTCTAAACACAGAATCCTCGAATTCAAACTGATTCCATAGTTAGTGGACCACACTACGAGAGAGATTGAGACGTCTAGCAGCATCAGCTTGTGCCACTCCCATTTCTATCCATCCGATCGCTCGCCACCTCAACTAATCGGGCAAACGACTTCTACTGGACATTGATAGACTCTCCTGGATATTGTCCACGAACAAAAATTACAATTTTTGCATTTTTTCTAAATATAATTGTTTATTGCTATAAAATAAAAGTGGCGGCTATTGTTTTTGCATATATTTTCTCAAACTTTGTTACTGAACTCGTTCGTTAGTCGTGCACATGATCTGTGAATTTAAACGCTGCTGACATTTTTGCAATAGTGAACTTTGAAAAATATGCTGTTCATTAACTTTTGGAGGGCAGTGTTTATTATACATATATATTCCCACACTGTTACCCGGTTGGGTAAGCTCAGTATTTTTATTCTTATATATTAATAAATTGTGCATTTTTTATTTTAAAAGTCTGAATTATTTGCTTTGGTATAAAGGTCGTTCAATATGTGTTCTTATGTCCCAGTTAAGGTTTTTATCCTTTTGTTAATCTGTATGCAATAGTTGTAGAATTATCAACAGAAAGTTTAAGTGACGCGAAGCCTAACGAGGCCGTTATTTGTTTACTTTTGAAACTTAGTAGAACAATGAATAAAGTCAGTTGGGGTACTGACTTCAGTGTCTTTGTGTAGAATAAAAAGTTTTCAATTTTGTGCACCGAAAACTTGATTTTCTTACCCATTGGCGGAATTGCTTGTTTCGGCATAGAAACTTTAATTTCAATTGCAAAAATTGTTTTAAAACTATTTTTAATTGTATTTGTTTTTTTAGGTTTTTCTGAATTTTTCAATTTTTTATGAATATATTTTGAGTTTCCATGTTTTTTTGCCTTGCTACGAAATGAGAATTGAAGTGATTGAATAAGAAATATATCTCTGATGAAATTCGAGAAAATAAGTTTAATGAAGTGCAGCAAAAATGTGTACAATTTAATAGGCCGTACAAGGAATACATGTGGCTTCCGCATCAGATACTTTATATTTTATGTCCTGTAAAGTAATAATCTTTATCTTAATGGTAAACAATCTTCTCTTCTTACCTCAAATACAACGAGTAAATAAAGATTTATTTTTGAAACTAATAATTTTAGCAATAAAGTTCGTACAATATTGTATATTTAGATTTGCTAAAATATTATCGGATGAAACAAAATGAGAATACTGTATTTATTGTTGTATTTTCCCCCTTCTTTTTATTAACTTTTTTAAGTCGTAAGAGAAGTCATAAATCATTACTGGAGTAAAATCAAGAGGGAAAACATCATCCAAATAATTTAATTTCCAAAGAACGTGGTTACTGCCTTTATTATTAGAATAAAACAACTGAAAAGTATTCATGGATACCGGTAGCTAAGACAATATTATTTATTGCAAAAGAACCTATATTCCAATAAGAATACATACGAAAATTAACATTACAGTATCTAATAAGATATCTTAATTTCTGCGTCCTTAAATCTCGCCCGCTGTTATTCTTGTCACAGCTACTACTTAGGCCTCAAATAGTTTAGTACTGCTGGAACTCTGACGCCTGCTGCAATTTAGAAGTCATAGCTATCATCACAGTTATCTTAATCGCCAGTCTTCCCTTGAGTAATGATTTTTAGACCTGTCAAAATATTAGATATACCTGTTTTCTTGAAGTTTTTTCCTATAAATGCTTCATCAATCAGAACCCATGCATCCAAAATCCACAAGCAAATCAGTTAATAAGAAGAAACCAACTACTACGTGGACAAATTTATTTCAAAATTTAGAGAAGCTTGCTTTCTGATCGTGCTAAGGAAGAGGAAAATTCCATGCATATTTAAAAAATTTGAAAACCTTGCACTAGAAAAGCGGTAATTACGCAAGTAGAAGTTATATTGCTTAAGCATTTTTAAGGAACATTGTTTTGGTAACTATATTTATGCATATTTATACTTCTATTTGTAATAAATATAGTGAAATGCCTTTTTTCCCATTTTTCCCTACAGATGGATCTCCTGCATTCCAAAAGTGTGTTATGAGGATTACTGCCGAACAGAAGCAACGACAGAAGATACTTACAATGCCATACCTGCATACTCATATGAAATGTTAAATCCTTTTGTATTATTTTTTGTAAATAAGTTGTGTCTGTAAATAAGGAAAACATAAATATAAAACTAATATGGCTATGACAAACTTTAATCCTTTAAAGTTTAAACATTTTAATTTACTTATTTCAAATTTAATTGCTTACTTTTCTTTATTAGTTAACATGAACATAAATTTAAAACAGAATCAAAAGTTCATAATCATTGATTTTCATAAAAATAGTTTCCTAATTACATTCTGAATACAGAGTCTAAAGAAATTTCTGTAAACCGATTACAGAACGGTTTAGTATACGATTATTTGTTTGGAATAGAACTCGAGTTCGATGAGTTAGGACTGGGCGCTCTGCACTTGTTTACCGCTTTCGAGACAATGCTACAACTGTCTATGCGTCATTAAGTCTTTTGCTACTGTTCAGTAAACAACCCGCCTTATAATTCTGAATTTTCAAGTAATCTTGTGTTTTTCGCGTAAATATTTTGTAAATTTGTTAAGAATGAGTTTTAGGAAAGTAAATGAGAAGAGTGAAGCAACGAAGAAAATTGTTAGAATCATCATGGAGTTGAAAAAAGAGGATGTTGAAAACTTTGAAGATGGCATGTATGCTGAATACGATGAAATGTAGAAAATAAAGACAGTATTGAACTATTTAACGTTGCGAAGGACACAAAATTTAGAGAGTACAGAAAAATTGCTTTTCATCTGGATTGCAGAAAACGTTTATGTACTATTATATGCAGTGCTTCATTTATGTATAGCATAGATTTCATCTCCTATATATATTTTAGTATTAAACAATAACTATAATAATAATAGGATTTTTTTAAAGATCGGACTAGTTATTTTCCCCTTTTTTTATTAGAAAAGTTCGTCTTGGTATCTGGTGCGTTTGGTATCTAAAACGAATTAATAACGCAAACTGAAATACCACTGTTATTGTAATTCATAAAACATAATTTTATTTTTAAATTCAATTCTTTTAATTTAAAACCAAGGAAGAAGCTTGCTTTAGAAAACTGGCGCATTGCTATAAAAACACTGTCAAAGATGTTGATTCTATTCATGTTTGCTCGACATAAATGTAATCTTTCGAAAATATCAGCTAGGTACACTGCGAGAAAAAAAAAAAAAAACTGAGAGTTCAAAAGGACGCTTTTTTAACCTTTTGTGTGTTAACTTTATTTATTAAATATCAAGTTCTTTGCATTTGAACCATAAAATTAAGTAATTTTGCGACAATAGCAATTTCGTTATTTTGCGACAATAGCAATGTCGCGAAATAATTTTAAAATGAACATATCTTTAGAATTTCCCGATACACAGTTCCGCGCGCTGAAGATAAAAAGATTTTTTCCCCCCGTAGATTGTTGCCATCGCTCGCTTTTTAAATCGTTGAGTTTGTTAATCAAAAATTCGTTAAAGTTTTACAAAATGCAAAATCGATAATAAAGCAAATTCCAAATTTCAAGTTTGGTCTTCCACATGCCTACATTCGTAGGAGGATGACATCATTCAAAATTCGATGGCTCTATGTACCATTGTCTTATTACAATGCGAGAAATATACATACATTCACGCAGATTTTTCCTTATTTAATTTCTTCAAATATAATATAGCACTCTAACATTTGGTGGCAAAAATCTGAAACGGACATTTATAGTGATTCAACGCAAAATCGCAAAACGAACGAAAACAATAGTCCTTCTGGGACAAAGCCCCTTTGGACTAAAAAAAAAAAAAAAAAAAAAAAAAGGACAGTTCTATATCTTCCGTTCTATTGGGCCGATTGACGATATTCAACTTTCGATATTGACTTTTTCATAAAAATTATCGTAAATAATTCATTATTAAAGAAAATAAAATTGTTTTATTTAAAACTTCTGAATCTTTTCAGAAAAACTATTTTCATTCCTAATCACAGCAGAGGCTCTTCTGCCTATCCTAGCGACATCTGTTGTATCACAAGTTTTTAATGCTACTTTATCATTTTTTCCCGGATTAATATTCTTAATCCTTAGAGGTCTTGCCATACTACCACTTGGAGTGTACATGTAAGGATTTCTTCTTTTCTTTTTGTTTGTTCTGAGGGAAATCATCAGAGGATTGGTGTCTCGAAAAATGCAAAAGGAAACTAGCCTATTTTTGAACTAACAGATGTACATTGCGTTATAAAAAAAAAAGAAAAAAAAGAAGACAGTTCTATATCTCCCGTTCTACTGGGCCGATTGACAATATTCAAATTGCGTTCTTCATGTTTCAAAAGCGCGACTTAGGATATATATTAGATTTATATATAGCACTATTCTAATATAGCTATTTTGATACAAAATTGAACGTTTTCTGAAATGACATGCCATATTTTTTCCATATTTCGATTCTATGACTCAAATTATGCTAAACTACCAAGTTTTGTAAAAATTGCACGAGTAGTTTTTAAAAATTAGCTCTCAAAATTTTACCTCCTCAATGTTAACTGAATTTGGTATATATTTATTAATATCTAATTTTTTATTAAACTTTTTTTATTCTTCCTTACACATTTTGAAATTTAGGTTCATTCCAAATAAAATTCACCCATTCTTTGTGATTTATTTTTAAAATTTGTATTTTTAAGTAATTTTTATAAATTTTTCGAAAAACATTTCCAATTATAACCTATAAAATTTTTACTATCATCTTAGAGTAGGTGTAAGTCTAAGCATACCTGCAAAAAATTAGACTTTTTTATTCAAAGTTTTCTAAGATATACACGAATTTACATATTTGCGCGGTTTGAAATTAGGCATCTTTTTTTGAGCGATAATACCGCCAAATGTTGTTTATGAATTTTGTTACAGTGAGTTGCCACAGCTATTTTTAACCATAAATTCAAATAAATTTTTACGGAGAATTAATTATATAAATTTTTTCCCTCAATGATGCGTAATATTTATTAATACTATATGAAAAGCTTTTTTTTAATTATAGATGATATTATTCAAATTTTAATTTTTTTTTTTTTTTTTTTTTTTTTTTTTAATTTTTATTTCTTTCTTTTTAGTCCAAAGGGGCTTTGTCCCTGAAGGACTATTGTTTTCGTTTTGCGATTTTGCGTCGGACTCATAAACGTCGGTTCACTTTTCAAACTGTTGCCACAAAATGTTAGAGTCCTGCATTATATTTGAAGAAATTAAATAATGAAAAATCTGCATAAATGATTGTCTATTTCTCGCATTGTGATAAAACAATGGTACATAGAGCCATCGAATTTTGAATGACGAATCCTACTGCGAATATGGGCATCTGAAATCCCAAATTTGGAATTTGTTTTATTATAGATTTTATATTTGTAAAACTTTAACGAATTTTTGATTTACAAACTCAATGCTTTAAAAGTGAGAATGGCAACGTTTATATAGAAAAAAAAAATACTTTTATCTCCAGCTCGCGAGACTGTGTATATCGGAAATTCTAAAGATATGCTTAATTTAACATTATTTTGCGATATTGCTCTTGAACTGAATTTTATGGTTTAAGTGCAAAGAACATGATATTTAACAAATAAAGGTAACACTCAAAACGTTAAAAAAAACGCCCCTTTGGACGTAATTTAAAATCTGAAACATTTCAGATTTTATTTTTTTTTCCCTCTTTTTTTAAATATTTGTAAGACTACATTTTTACCTTCGCCGTGCTATCGTCTGCTACTTTACTTTAATTTGTTAAGAAATTTAATTGTTTAAAGCTTAGAAAAGTGGATGTTTATTTTCACAATGTTTTTAAGCAAATAAGACGTTGACATTTTGGGTCATGTCCCAGCTTTAAAAAACATATATATATATATACACATAAATTTTTACATTAATCCTCCTAAAAAGAATGTTTTAAGTAATAATTTTCTCTGGTGTTGTAGATTATATAAAAAAATCGTCTTTAATATAGAAATTTTTAGGCTTAAACACTTTAAATAATATGATTAAGATTTTTTGCACCCGATATAAGAATTGGGTTACTCGGTCGTAAAGGATAAGCGCTGCTGAACTGGTTTATTTCTTTCTCATTTAAAAAAATATTTTAATTCAAATATTCATCCTTTGGACTTTGCTTTAAACTTTATTTATAGTTAAAAGGAAGCTGTCTTCAGCTGAAACGCGTTTAATGCAACTGATGCAAAATGCAAAATTTATGGAAGTGTTACAATCTAAATATCTTAATTTTCTTGTGTCAGCACTGAAAACAAATGTCGAAGGAGAGAAGGAAATTGGGAAAAAGCAAAAATTTAAAGGGAAATCTACTTCAAGGAAGTTGGGTATTCAAAGAGAAAACACTTGGACGTGTACACCAGCAAATAGCAGCAATTGAGTGCTAACGGAAAAGACAAAAACAATATCATTGCAGATTAAAGTGAAAAGCGACTGGATTTCAACTATATGGTTGTATAAATTTAATTTACTTCATAGAACATCATATCGTATCATAGACGTAGCATCCCATGATTTCTCAGTCGAATTATTAGATTCCGGAATTTATCCAGTGACGTATGTAGATTTCAGATAAAGACGTTTTCCCCCTTGATGAAACCAGTCTTTCCTTTCATCTCACACCTTCAAAATGCTTAGCTTGTAAAGACTGATAAAGGCTCTGACTAAATACTGGTGAAATGGAATGATTTGGATTATTAAGTTACGGCAAAGCCGGGCTCCTCTGCCTTAAAGGAGGGATGCCTTCGTGAAGAACTTTCTAAGAGAAACCAGCTAGTATATACGTTACACATGAGATAAAGCACGAAAACATCCATGCACGTTCTCGCTTGGATTCGAACCCCGGAGCGAACTACCAGTATTCAGCGACTTTACCGCTCGGCCGTTTGAGGACCCTTTTGAAATGGAAGGCGATAAATTTATTTAAAATTAATGTCAGGAATACCAATATGTTTCAAAAAGTTGGATGTTTTTTTAATATACTTGCAGAATGCCTGAAAACAAAAAGAGCAAGCTATTAAGAAGAAAAATACATTTTTGCTTAACATTTAGAATTTGTTTGATTTATTTTTTTTTAATTCATGATATTTAATTCCTGCGATTTCAAAAATAAAATATTTGAC